CACCATTTTTGCAACTGAAAAAAAATATATCCCTCTTTTAATTCGGGTATCAATCCAGAAAGGTTGTTGTTTGATAAATCGACCTCATCGAGCAATGTGAGAGTGGTTAACGAATTCGGGATTGATCCGTTGAGATAATTATATGATAAATCAAGGATCGCAACGTTTTTTAAACTCCCGAGTGCTTGAGGGATTGAACCGATGAGATTGTTATGACCTAAATTCAGTATGAATAGATAGAACATTGCCCCGAGCTCCATGGGGATGTTGCCATGAAGATTATTATGGGAAAGATCAAGAAACATCATCGATCCATTATGGTTAAATGTTGGCTCGGTGATTCCTTTGTAAACCCTAGTGAAATTATATGGATGTCGCTTTGACATCCTACCCAGATCGTCTTCTCGAATCCCACCAAATTTCCAGTTAATTTCCGGCACCATGGCATTGGCTGCTCCCATCGTTCTTTATGTAAACATATGGTTTTCCGGTGAGATAAGCATCAGCAATTTGGCCGGATTGTTTGAACAAATCAGGTGGGATTGTCCCGGATAATTCATTGGTGTTGAGATCTAACCAAATTAAGCTCTTACAATCGCCAAGTTCTGACGAAATGTTGCCTGAGAAGGAGTTGTTCCCGAGCTTTAGAATGGCTAGATTTGATAAACTACCAAGGGACGCCGGAATCTTGCCAGATAATTTATTGTTTGAAAGAGAAATCCATTTGAGATTGGTGCAGTTGCTCAATGTCGGTGGGATTGACCCAATTAAATAATTGACATCAAGAATGAGATTCTAGAGAGGTTGAATGTACATGAGTTCTTGTGGGATTTCACCTTCCAATTCGTTGAACCAGATAATCAAATCTTGAAGCTTCGATAAGTACCTGAAACTTGAAGGGATTTCTCCGGTGAGAAAATTGAAGCTCAGGTCAAGAGAAACCAGTTGAGAACAGTTGCTGAGAGTTGAAGGTATTGGACTCGTGAACCAATTGTTTTGAAGGTACAACTCCTTTAAGCTTGTAGTTGTACCTTGACATAATCTAGAAGGGATTCCGCCGGAGATTTTGTTGGAACTCAAATCTAAAGTCTCCAAATTGGTCATTTTTGAGAAAGATTCCGGCAAGAAACCGATGAAATCATTGAAAGATAACACCAATGTCTTCAAGTTACTAATTTCCAAAAGGGTTTCAATGGGTAGCTCACCGGAGAAATTATTTCGGGAGAAATCAAGTAGTTGAAGCGAAGAACATGATTTTAAGCCGTCGGGAACGGCACCGGAAAGGTTGTTACCGGAAACATTCAGTTCAACGAGCATTGGGCATAGATTGAGGAGGTGTGGAGGAACCCTACCTTGGAAATGATTGGTGGCTAGATACAGAAACTGGAGGCTCCTGTCCACCGGAAAAGATGGTATCTCGCCGGCGAACTGATTCTGAGTGAGATTAAGGAAGCTGAGATGCTTGCAAGACGATAAAGAACCAGATATGTCACCAGAAAACTTGTTGGATGATAAATCTAGATACTCTAAACTCGAGCAATCACGAAATGAAAGAAACCCAGATGAGACATTGTTTGCAGACATATCTAAGTACTCTATTTTTGCAACTGAAAAAAATGGTCTTTTATATGTGAAAAGACAAATATACCCTCATGTGAGATCACATGAGGAGGTTAACAGCAATAACTTAACGAAAGTTAAGTCGGGGGACCATTTCTACATATAAACTAGGCCAAAAGGACCATGAATAAAAAAAATCAAGGTTTGGACTGAAACCCCAAAAGAATGCATACCACAGGGACCATTTTTGCAATTTTATCTTTTTTTTAATTAAAAGTAACATACTTTTAGCAAAAAAAAAAAAAAGGATAATCATATAATCGATTAGGGTATGAACCTCAGTATCCCACAATCCAAGATTTATAGTGCTCCCATCTACCACAACATTTGCACTAAAATTGTCAAAAAAACCGTTGGTACGTAATCCTGTTATTGTCATAAATAAATGAAGAAAGTCAACATCATGTCAAAATCATACATGAAATTTTTGTAATTGGTAAAAAAAAACAGATCTTCTACAAATTTTGATTATATGCAAGAAACACTTATTTCATTTATAATACACAGATAAATGAAAGTATATTACTATATCTTGCATTTTGCCATTTTTTCACATTAATTAACAATATATGATTCTTAAATGCAAAGGAGTGTTCATATTACTTTATCGCTTTATGTCACTTATCATTTTCGGTGTGAAAAGTAAATAATTTTTTCATTCCTGATTGTATTTGATGCAAGACAAAATATAGAAAGAATCCACATGATGGTGAAAGAAAGAGAAAGAGATAAATAGTTAGAATCTAAAAAGAAGATACACACATTAGTTTTAATAAAAGTCCATATGTTGCCCTTGTTTCCTTCACCACAAAAAAATTTCATTGATGATGATGGATTTGGGGGGCCACCAACCAACTATATGATTTATCTATACACATCACCCACCACCCAACTAATTAATAAAAGATTCTTTAAAAAAGTAAATAATAAATCAAGAATCTGTATGCACAGTGATTGTTGTGACTTGAAGAATCATTTAATCAGATACTCAGATCATTAAGAGTATGGGTAGTTAGGTAATTTTATGTTTAATTCAATAATCAGTTTTCTTTAAGCAACTCCTTATCCACTTCTCCAAAATAATTTATTGTGACCCTAAATAATATATATATATATATATATATATATATATATATATATATATATATATATATATATATATATATATATATATATATATATATTAGACCGTTTCATAAAACACTCAAAATTGATTATTGAGACTTCAAATAGCTAAACTAAGCTGATAAAAAAAAAATGTGTTGTGTTTTTCTATATTTTGATCTTGTTCAAAACCGATTACCCGGGGAATAAAACTTAACTCTAAGAAAGTCTATAATGTTTAATCACTATAGACAATAATTAAGTGACTAAATCGATAAATTATTGTAAATAGATTACATTTTCTCTGCATTTTTCCCTTTTAGTTCATTAAGAGATAACTTTCTAGGTGATGTTTAAAAGTTTGAGAAAAAAAATGGCAAAAAAGGGAAAAAGTAAAAAGTTTACGACCTAATTGGAAAGCCTAATTTTCATGACTTTGTCTATTAAGTCATTATTTTTAAAAAGAAACACTCATATATGTATATATATGGCTTAATGGATTAAGTATTGTCCCCATTAGCTTATTAAGAGATAACTTTGTAGGGAGGACAGGTGGCCACTTCCCCATTCGCTTATTAAGACAAAGGGTAATAGGTGTCTATCCCCATACATCTTAATTTTATCCCTATTTATTGTGCATTTACACACCCAAAACGTAGGTGCATCTTAACATACCACAACAATTCAATTCTCAAAAATAAATAATTACAAAGCTAAATTCAAAAGATATCCTATAGAATTATAGCATAAAATGTTCAAGAATCAAAAAGGAATCTTTCTTTCACACAATTAAAAAAAAAAAATAATAACAACACAAAACAAAACAAAACAAAAAACATACACAATCATGTCTTCTATCAAAGAAATAGCTCCAGAAGGAAATAAGAAAGACAATTTATGAGAGAAAAAAAACAGTAATGTTTTTTCAGAAAAAAAAAAAAAAAAACTTCCTCGCAAGTGAAATGTCCATACAAATTAGAAAATTGAAATGGAAAAAAGTTTCCATAACTAAAAATCCCATCGCTTTGAATCGTTCCGTTCAAATTGAATCAAAATTAGGTCAGAACATCATGAATACGTCAATTTAGGGTAAAATTAGCTTCTTCAAAATGAGAACAATTAAAACTATTGAAAAAATGAAATCGAGATGAAGCTGAATTGACTTTACAGTGGGGAAAGTGTTGCTGGTGTAAGAAATAAAATTAAGCATACAGGTCTTCAATACTCAATATATACAAACTCTAGATATCATCGTATCCAGAGCAACTTCACTATAGCATATCCTTATATTGATTGCTCTTTTCCTCAAATACAAAATCGGACTCAACTGCATTAATTTGCTCTACTTTTTGCAGATGACCATCTTCAACTTCCAAGCATATATACTGCTAGAACTAGGCCACTCAAAATCTAACAAACTGAAGTTCCAATTCGATTACCTTTTTCTTGTTGGAGGTGGATTCTATGCTTTAGCCTTCAAATGTTGTAAATAATCAATATATACATATACATGATTGTCATGTGTCAACACAGGATCAATGGAATTCAATATTCTCATCAACTAGCTTATTTTGCTTTTGCTTGTTCCTTGACAACCTATACATTTTTATGATTATTTTCTTTTGATATTCTAACATATAGCATAATCAAAGTATTGTTAACTACAAGAATCATCTATATAACTCATATCACTCATTTGTAAACTCATTTTCACTTCAATTTGGATGCCTAGGTCAAATTAATATCCCTGACGTTTGATTTCATTTTAATGCAGTTAAATGGTTTAGATAGCATCACCACAACATAAAGATATTTAGGGCTATGTTTGGCAGACTAGCTAATGACTGCAAAGCTAGCTGCTAGCTGATAAAAAATAACGTTTAGTAAAATCTAGCTGATAAGCTAGCTGAAATGTATAAAATGACATAAAAGGACACTTAGAAGAATACGTTTTTGTAATTAATTAAGGGTATATTTGGAAAATTTTTAAAAAGCTCTTGAAAAGCTAGTCAAATTAGCTTTTTAAAAAGTTAGCTTATAAGCTAGCTTATCAGCTACTCTTTGGTTTGCGAAACATAACAATTTTAAAAAGCTCGAAAAATAAGCTAGCTGTAGCGCGCCAAACACAACCTTAATCATAACATATAAGATTAGGGTTGTAAACGAACCAAACGAACACAAACAATGTCTTGTTCATGTTCGTTTGTTTAAGTTAGCTGAACAAGAAACAAATACGAACGGATAAACGAACGAGATTTTATTGTTCATGTTCGTTCGTTTATGTTCGTGAACATGCTAAACGAACAAAGATAAAAAAAAACACACAATTAAACATATATGAACATAAACGAACATATAATATAGCAATATAATAAAAAACTGAATATAAATTAATATAAATAAACTTAAACGAACGAACGTAAATGAACATTATAAACGAACGTTCACGAACATAAATGAACGAACGAGATCATTGTTCATGTTCGTTCATTTAACTTAACGAACAATAATTTTTGTTCATGTTTGTTCATTTATTAAATAATTAAATAAACGAGCATAAACGAACTTCCCGCCGAACAGTTCACGAACGGTTCGCCGAACGTTTAGTTCGTTTACAGCCCTATATAAAATGATTTAAACCACTTATTTCTCGTATAAAAACACAAGCACAAAAAGCTAACTTTATTCCAATCAACGATTTCAAGAGGGTAATAATTATTACCTTGTCGGCTGTTATATAACGATCAACTACGATTAAGGAAATAATTAGTAGTCTTCAAGAATTGTATAGTCTTCCTCAAAAATAGCAGCCCCAAAAATCATTTTTAAGTCTGAAATAAGAACTTATTTGAAATTAAAAAAAAATGAATAAATGTGGCCCAAAATGTTTATATTTTTTGTTCCATCTTTTCTCGGCCCAAACGGAGACAAGGAAAAGTTGCCCAGACCACCCCACGTGAATGTTAATGGCTTCCTTCATTTTCTTACCATCTTAATACCCATTTTACCACTTAGAGATATCCTTGATATTCCCATCAATTTCATTACTATTTTTATTGGCTATTCATTTAAAGTATGATCTAATTATCATTATATCATGGCATAAAAATTGAAATGCATTATAACTATTAAAATGTTAACATTTATATATAGATTAGTTATTTTATAAAATGTATATTGAACGATATTTAACTCCATGTTAAAAGTATGCAACCTTAAAATATATTGAAAAAATTTGCAAATCTTTTAACCTAAAAAATATATTATGCAAGGTTATGTTTAAAATATATTACTGCTATATTTTCCAACAATGTGAAAATACAAAAGTTGCACACACTTTAACATTCTACATTTATATAGCTAAACCAAGTGTTCAATATTACGCAAAACATATTTCTTAGTTTATACTAAAGTTTACATCTTGTCGATTCTATTACTTCACCACACAACATTACTATTACGTTAACCACTTTCTACTTTTCAAGTACAACATACTTACCTTTCTCTTGGAAAAGGCTACAATTAGGATGCTACATAAGCCTCAACAATGAAATATTGGGTAGCTTTTAAAAGTCCTTAAATATTGGGGTGTCATAAATCTAATAATATTGTCCTAAGATGCATAGTTGATTGATTGGTCCATAAGTTTTTCAGTTTTCTGTTTTGAACATTGAATGGTTGTGACTTGTGGTCAAGGAAACATGTTTCATGTCTTTGACATATAACAAATATATCATATAAAATAATCCTCAGGCAAAGAAAGATGAAACCCGAATAAAGTTTACGTTTCAAGTTGATGATCAAAATGCTCGAAACTTTTGGAGCAAAGCAACCTGGGAAAAAAAAGCCAAACTAATATG